CTCTGTCATACAACGAGACACATCACCACGATGCTTTATTTCCATGACGTCCAGTGTATTCTTCTTCAGTCCTAGTCTCAGTCCAAACTTATACCATTTTGCTTCTGGGAAGCAACATTTCTCCAATAAACAAAGAACATAATCCAAGTCACCAATATCTACATAAGTGTAGGTCAAAAGTAAAATGGCAGATTTCACATCATCAATCAACCTTACCTAAACAGATTTGATTAGTGGCCATAGTTCCATTAAAAGAAGCTACCCCAAGGCCAGGGCCTTAGACAATGAACAGTTTTACTTTTAGGGTGGGGTCAGAAGAGGCGTGGTCTTGTTACTGTAGTTATAAAAAGGTGGGGCTGGATGTGCAAAACAACCAAGCAGGCAAGCACTGCACAAAATCAATGAATCAAGCCTGATTACAGTATTGATAGAGTCTGACAGGTATCAAAACACTAGAATACACCAAAGAAGTGAGTTTATGTTTGTATGAGCAAGCCATTGTACATTTTTTACATTGCACATTTACATGTAGATCTAGACTATTATAATAAATATATTTTATCATAAATAAATATTTATTATTATCTCTTATTTCTTAAATACATTAATGCATAAATTAATGCTGTTATTTTGCTGTTTACTTTATAGACCTAACCACCTTACTAGTCGAGACTTTTTTTGATTACTGTGTCATGGAAAGTGAGTCCTGAAGTTGGGGAAATTCCAGCAATCCTGGCATCACCACAGGAAATACCGGAGGACACAAAAAATAAACTAGATCTAGATAAATCAAATGGAAGTATTATGAAAGAAAATAAGGATGAAAATGTAGAACATAAAAATGAACCAGTAAAAGATGCCAGCAGTATGAATACTAGCAGTATGAAGGTTCAGAGTGATGATGATACAAAGAGTGAAGAAACACCTACTGACCGAACCACTGACACTGTTTCACAAAGTGATACAAATGACTGCAAAGTAGAGAAACCATGGTGATTTACATGGGGGATTTTGGAGTTAAAAATGCTCCAAAATCACCCTAGATTTTTATTATTTTGTTGATACATATTGATGTCCTTATGCTGTATAAAAAGTTTGAGCTAATTCTGACTTTAATTTTTAAAGTTATGGTCATTAAAAAAAAACTCCAAAATTTTGAAAAATACCCAAGGCTATATAGCCCATGGTTTTTTCAAAAAATGGCTCCAAAATCACCCCAAATTTTTATTACATTTTCTGATACATATTGATGTCCTTATGCTGTGTAGAAAGTTTGAGCTGATTCTGACTTCAATTTTTAAAGTTATGGTCATTTTAAGAAAACGCCAAAATTTTGAAAAATACCCAAGGTTATAGCCCATGGATTTTTCCAAAAAATGGCTCCGAAACCACCCCAAATTTTTATTAAATTTTCTGATGCATATTGATGTCCTTATGCTGTGTAGCAAGTTTGAGCTGATTCTGACTTCA